TTTTTTTTTTAATCATTTAAGAAACAAAAAACCTACGTGTACATAGCACGGTTCGATCGCCGTCGGACGCGTATGTAGAACTTTTAAAACATGGCCTTAATAATAAAATCACAGTCAAGCCGGATGCAGTTCTCAGACAAGGCGCCGGGGACCCCGCGAGGACCCCGCCAGTCCCCTCCCCGCTGCGCGGCCACCACGGCCACCGTTCTTCCCGACGCTCCGCGCAGGCGGGCGGGAGGGGACAGGCCAGGAGGGGCTTTGCCCTCCACCTGTCCCGGGCTTGTGGCCAGGGGGCGGGTGACATTGCACGTGTGTCACAGCCATCAGAAGTTTCTCTTCTGAGGAGACTCGGACAGATGCCAGCAGCGCTCCCTGAGCGGGTGCAGGGCCCGGCCGATTCCCCGGGGACCGAGCCAGGAGCCACTGGCCAGGCGTCCCCGTGTTCTAGAAGGGTCCATGCCCCTCTGGTCCTGGACCGGCCTCCTGGGGCCTGTGGCCGGACACTTTGAGGGTCCTTTTCAGTTTTTGAGGTGTCACTACTTCTCTACAACCTTCTCCTGGATTGCCAAGACTTTGTGAAGCAAGACAAGTGCGAGGGACTCTGCACTTTGCTTTGTCACGTGAAGCTACTGCGATCTCAGTACGGAAACCGCGGCCGGGTCCCCTGCCGTGTGTACATAAACCCACCGCCTGCGTCCTCCGCGGCCGGGCCAGGCCGGTCCCCCCTCCCCAGCCCACCCCGAACCCGTGTCCTGTGGCTTTGGCCAGGCCCCTCGGTTACACGAGCCTTTCCCCTGGGACAGAAGCAAGACAGGGTGCTCCGAAGAACACTACGTCCCTGCCTCAGTTTACCCTCCCCCTGCAAGCCCCGTGCTCCCGTGGCTCTGCTGCCCTCCCTGTCCCTCTGTCCTGCTGCCTGCTGTGGGGCTGGTGCTGTGGGGAGTGAGTTCTGGCTTCTGCTGCAGGGGTGTTCGGCCTGATGGCCTCAGGGTGGCCCGGTGCCCTTGAGGCTGCTCAGCCGGTAGCCAGGAGGCCCTCAGCGAGGCACCCGTGTCACTGGGCACAGCCCGGAAAGCAAGGGTGGTGGCCCGGTACCCTGGGTCAGGAGCAGGTGAAAGGCCACCGTGGAGGTCGGGGGACCCTCAGGGAGTGGGGAAAGTGTGTCATGCCCATCCCTAGCGGGCCCTGGCGCCCACTCCCCCTGTATCCTGAGTTTTCTTCATTTCCAAAGATGGCCGGGTGTCCCCGGGCACAGGCTGGTGGGGCGAGGCTGGGTGGTATTAGGGGGGTCCTCTGCACCCCCAAGAGAGCCGAAGCTCCACTGTTCCCCGTGGGTCCTGATGCAGCCCAGGGGTCCTCCGTGGGGGGTGAGGGGACCATGCCTGCCAGGACCTGAAGAGCTGGGGAGGCCACGGTCCCTTGCACGGCCCTGAGGCCCGCCCGGGATTAGGGGCAGTGGGTTTCTTTTAACCCCCGTTCTCTTCAGCTCCTGGGTCCCCCGCTTTTAATCTCTGTTCTTGACTCCCCCACTCCCTTCAGGGGTGTCATGGTGTGTGACTCAGGGCCCCTGGGACGTTCCTCCTTCAGGCCGGGGTCAGACACAGCCCTTGGTGTGGCACAAGTGTCTGCCGCTCTCCCTAGGGGCAAGACACGGAGTGATCTCCACCCCCGGGATGGGGTGCTGGGCTCCCCCGAGAGCACGGAGTCAGGAAGTGAGCCCCATGTGACCTGGGCCTCAGTTTCCCCTCCTGCAGGTCTCTGGGCCCCAGGCTCCTCCTGGGCAGGTGGGGTGGGGCTGGACCACGCAATGGTGCTGGCTGCCGGCGCTGCCCGCCTCCCCCTCGTCCCCTTCCTGGGAGACAGGTCCATGTGCTTTGGGTTGGGGTCGGGGTGCCCCTTCTAGCAGGGCTCTGGAATTTAGGGGCGACCCCTGCTCAGCCTAGCCTGTCACTTCCGACCATAGCACAGCTGGGGACAGAGCTCTGGCACCCGGGGCTGCAGACCCCACCTCGCCCCCGGGAGGAAGCTGTCCTTTGGCTGGGCCGGCACCTTTCATATATGCAAACCCGCCTTCCCCGAGCCCTGCCCCGCCTGTGTCCTCCGCGTCCCCGGCTCTGTCCCCAGCATGTACACACCACGCGAGGTCCCGGGCGTGCGGGCGCCGTGGCGGGAGGTCTGGCGGGCGGGCGGTGGCTTGGGGCACACACTGGGCGCCCGTCCTGCCCTCTGGAGAGGACGCTTGTGTTTGTACCTCTGGTCCTTTGTAATGAAATGTAATAAAAATCCAATGTTTTCCTTTGCCTCTTCCTCCTTCCTCCAACCTTTCCTCCCTCAGGGATGACATGGTGATGGTGACAGGGACACCTGGCCCCCCCCAAGGACGGTCCCTAAGCTGGCCTGAGCCTCTCACACACTCCCAGGGGATCCTCAAAAACGGGGCAACCAACACACCAGCCTCCCCCGCCCCAGACTCCTGGGGGGCTTCGTGAAAGACAGACACCACAGCGGCAGACAGAAATGTCCCCAAACCACCGCTGGCCCCCTGGACCCGTCCACACCATCTCCCTGCAGCAGAGACCACAGCCGGCCAGTCCCCCCCACACACACTTTATTTGCCATTCTGTCCCCGCTCCTGTGTCCCCCTCCCAGGCTGGCCGCCCCTTGAGGCCAGCAAATGGAAAGGAACGCCATCGCCTGTCACCCGTGGGTCCCCACACGGGGGTCTCTAGACCCGCTGTAGCCGCTGGGCCTCGTAGTCCTCGGGGATGGTGTCTGCAGAGAGAGGCGGCAGGTGAGAGGCAGGAGGACCACGGAGGACAGGCCACCACCCGCCAGCGTCCCCTGTCCCCCTCACCATTGCAGCGGTAACGCAGGTTAGCCCAGATGATATTTTCCTGGGAAAAGCAGAAGACACCCAGCCGTCCACCACGCATGGTCGTGTCCAGGACCACATTGCTGTCAGCCACCAGCTCGGGGCCCTCGTAAAACCGCACCCTGCAGGAGGGGGAGACGGTGAACCCCACCTCAAAGGAAGAGGGTCCTTCTGCCTGGCCCCCACTCTCTGGCACTTGGGCCTCAGTTCCCCAAGACACAGAGCCCTCCCCGGCCGCACACGGCAGCACCGAAAGGGGGTCATCTTCTAACTGGAGGCCCCCCCCGTGCTGGGTCCGCCTTACGGATGGGGGACCAGGGACCCTCGCGTCCTGGAGCTGGGCCAGCAGTGTCCCGACCTGATGTAGCCCACTTGGGGCCGGTGCTGCAGGAACCAGCGGTAAGACGTCTTGTCCTTCCAGCCCACGTTGCGGGGGTCCTTCCACAGCAGCCGCACCTGGGACGCCGTGTCGCCCGTGTGCCACAGTGCGTTCCGCAGCTGCTCTCCGGGGCCCGTGGAGGACTTCACGGCCTGCCGTCGCCCAGGGAAAAGGGGGGCTCAGACACCCCGCAGGGCAGCCGAGCCCCGCCTGGAGGGCGGGAGAGGACACCCACAAGGAAGCCTTCCCGGGGGCCACATGGGGGCTCCTGGATGGGTTGTGGGGGGGCAATGGTGGTTTGGGGGTTCGGAAGAGGATTTGTGAGTCTGTGGACAGGTTGGAGGTTGAAGGATCTTGTGGCCTGTAGGTTTGGGGTGTCTGTGGGATCGGTGGGGACTTTCTGGGGGGCTTCGGTGATAGACTGGGGCTACGGGGTCTATAGGATGCACCGGGGGCTCTGGAAGTGGTTTTAGGGACCCAAAGGAAGGTTGGGGGCCCTGGGAGAATGTTCCAGGGCTTGTGGGGGGATGGAAGGATTTGGGGCCCTGGCAACAAGTGGGATGAGGGCTTTGGGGTCCGTGGAGGACGTGGGGACCTTGAGCTGGATGCCAGGCTCGGCCACTGCACGGAAGGGGTTGGCCTGCCAGTATGTCTGCTCCATCTGCTTCCACATGACCACGTAGAAGCTCGAGCTGTCCTGGTAGCCGAAGATGAAGCCGGCATAGTCGTCATCCGTGGCCGTGTTCACGTGGAACGTGCCCTCGAAGTCCACGCCGTTGAATGCCGTGTAACCTGCACAGGGGGAGGGAGGAATGGGCTTGCGAAGGCCAGGCTGGCCCCTGACCCCATGGGAGCCCAGGCGGGAGCCAGCCAGGTCTAGGTTCCGCCGGCACCCAACGCACCCCTGCTTTGGGACCCAGACCACGCCCCCAGCCCCACCTGGCTCCGCCCTCCTAGGCCTAAACCCACCCAGCCAATCCATGACCCACCCTGTGCGACCACGCCCCTCGATGGCCACGCCCCCTCCAGAGCCCAGAACCACCTGTCCCTGAAACTACATTCCACCTGGCCAATCCTCATGGTCCCACCCAATCATGGCCACGCCCCTGTTGGCCACGCCCAAGCCCCACCCCCCCATGGCAGGGCTGCCCTCCAGGCCACGCCTCTCCAGACTCTAGGCCCCTCCTGCTCCAGACCCACCCATTCATAGTCACTTCTGCAAGGCCACGCCCCTCACTGGTCACGCCCCCTTCAGAGCCTAGAACCACATGCCGCTGAATGCAGGTTCCATATGGCCAACCCTCATGGTCCCACCCAACCACGGCCACGCCCCTTCTTAACCACGCCCCTGAGCCCCCATCCTCCATGGCAACCGTGACAGCCCCACCCTCCAGGCCACGCCCCTAAAGCCACGCCCCCATCCCCTCCCTGCGCAGCGCTGCTGTCTCACCCACAGCCAGGCCCGGGTCACTGTTCATCGTCTGCACGATCTCCATGCCCTGATGAGGTCAAGGGAAGAAGGGCGTCAGGCCCCAAGTGCATATGGGGGCCTGGGCTGTTGTGGGGGTCCGGAGCTCCCCGAACTGTCCCCTGGGACTTGCCCCACCTGATTGAGCACCACCCAGTTGGGGTCAATCTGTGCGTCACCCTCCGGGTCCAGCACCACTGTCTGGAAGGCCCGGAAATCAGTGAGGGTGACCTCGGCGTTCTCTGGACACACGTCAATCTTGTCCACCACCTTGTCAGCATCGAAGTCACCCTGGCATGCGTCGCCCACGCCGTCCCCTGACAGGAGGTAGGTTCAGCTCCAGGCCCCGCCCACCCAGCTGCTGGTCCCGCCCACCCCAACAGATGACCACGCCTCCCGTGCACAGGCCCCGCCCCCGTACTGTCTGCATCCTTCTGGTCAGGGTTGGGCACCAGGCGGCAGTTGTCCCGGCTATCAGGGACTCCATCATTGTCGTCGTCGTCATCACAGGCATCGCCCTGCCCGTCATCGTCCGAGTCCTGCTGGGCACTGTTAGGCACTGTAGGACAGTTGTCCCGAGAGTCCTGGTGTCCGTCCCCATCCCTACAGTGGGCAGATGGGACAGAGACAATGAGGTACTCAGAAAAGTCATACTCAGGGGCTATCCAGCCACCCACCCACCCCACGTGGCCTTCTTACTTGTCTTGGTCACTGTCACACGCATCTCCCACGAAGTCATGGTCCACGTCCATCTGGATGGGGTCAGGACAGAGGGACTCAAGAGTCTCCCGCCCACCCCCAGCCCCACAGCCAACGACCCCGTGACCCAATGAGACCCTGCCCCAAGCAGCAGGATGGGGACCAGCCTGGAGCTGACCGGGAGGTGGTCTGGCTGCCCTCACCTGGTCCGGATTGTCCTTCTGGGGACAGTTATCACATACATCCCCTACACCGTCACCATCACTGTCCTTCTGGTCTGAGTTGGGCACCCTGGGACAGTTGTCCACTGTGTTTCGGATCCCTGCAGAGGGACAAGACAGGACCCTGAGTGGGGCTGGGCTGGGCTCTGGTGGCTCACGCCTGTAATCCTAGCTACTCAGGAGGCAGAGATCAGGAGGATCGTGGTTTGAAGCCAGCCCCAGGCAAATAATTCCCGAGACCCTATCTCTAAAATAACTGTCACACAAAAGGACTGGTGGAGTGGCTCAAGGTGTAGGCTCTGAGTTCAAACCCCCGTACTGCAAACAAAGAAAAAAAAAAAGAGATTGGGCCTGGGCCGGGGCAGGAGGCTAGCATGGGACAGGGGAACACAAAGAATGGCTACCCAGTGAGGAGAGGTGGCTATCCCCACCAAGGGCAGCTAACCTGGGAACCCTGGGAACGTCCCTCTGTGTCCACCTGTAAAAGTGGCACATTCCTGGAAGGTGGCATCTGACACAGGGACCGCCTCCCAGCCTCCAAATGTCCCTCCCCTGTCCTCCACCACCACCTTTGAGGACGGCTTGGCTTCTCCCCTCACCCAGCACAGCTCATAGTCCAGGCGTGTCCCCCACTGTGGTTCCTACTGCCCCCCCTTCCCAACCATTCTTACGATCATCATCAATGTCATCATCACAGGCATCGCCCTGGCCGTCCCGGTCTGTGTCCTTCTGATCGTCATTCTTCTGGGACCGGCAGTTGTCACATGCATCACCCCACTTGTCATTGTCAGAGTTGCGCTGGTCTGGGTTGCGTACCAGCAGGCAGTTGTCCTGGGGGCCAGTGCCAAATTAGGGGAGTCAGGCTGGGAAAGGCAAAGGTCACTTCCCAGACCTGCTGTCTCTGGGGTCCCCTCTCCTCTGCAGTGAACCCCTTGCTTTGATTACCCAAGCCACACCCATCCCACCTGCTCATTGGGGACCCCATCTCCATCCGCATCGGGGTCGCAGGCATCTCCGATGCCATCCCGGTCCACGTCCTCCTGCCCTGAGTTAGGCACTGTCACGCAGTTATCCTGAAAGGGGGGGCGGGCACGGTGGACATAAGGGGGCGTGGTCTAGTGACAACGCCCACGGCACCCAGGCTCCGCCCCCTCTAGGGCCCCGCCCACCTTGCGGCACTGGAGTTCTGAACAGCGCAGCTTCTCATCTGGGAACCCGTCCAGGTCGGTGTCGCGGCCGCAGATGAGCCCGTTGCCAGCCCAGCCCACGGCACACTGCAAGGGGGAGTCAGTGGATACCCCGAGTGGCTGTCCCCCGCACTCAATCCCTCAGTCCCTCGGCCCCGCCTGCCCTGTGCGCCCCCACTCACCACGCAGGACCGCGAGCCATCGCGCTCCAGGACACAGTCAGCCTTCTCATGGCACGGGCTGGGGGACCCATCGGGACAGAAGCGCTGGGCACGGGGCTGGCAGCCAGAGGCCTGGTCACCCACGAAGCCAGGCTGGCAGGGGCCACACTGGAAGGAGCCCTGCACCCAGGTCGGGGTGGTCAGTGACAGCTGACCACTGATGACCCGGTGGCCCCGACCCACCCTCGCCAGCCTACCCGGGTGTTGATGCACACGGAGTTGGGGACGCAGTTATGCTGCCCGGTCTCGCACTCGTTAATGTCATTGCAAACCTGGAAGGGGGTGGGGATGCACAGGTCACCGACAGGCGCTACTACTTGTCACTCTCTTTGCCCCTCCTCCACTCCCTCCACCCTTGCCCTGGGAGCCCTGATCACAGGTGTGTCCTTCCCCCAGCTGCAGAACAAAATAACCCCCCCTAAACCTCCCTTGGGCTGCAAAGGTGGGACCCCATGCCCCTCACCTGCTTGTTGGCCTTGGCGAAGGCCAGCCCCACGCCCTCGTGGGGGGGACCGCTGTACCCCGGTGGACAGGCCTCGCAGCGGAAGCCCGGGCTGGTATTGATGCAGCGGACGCGGGGGAAGCAGGGGTGGGCGTTGCACTGGGGGACAAAGGACCACGGAGGGTCAGAGGACCCCAGGGTGGTCCCGATTTGGAAAGCTAAAAGCCATCATCAGCGAACCCTTGGATGGAGGCTGAGGTCACAGGTGTCACATGTGACTTTGCCTTGATGGGGGTGGAGGTGACCAGGCAAGGACAGGGGCGCGCCAGGAGGACCAGGCTGGGCCCTCATAGGCGGGGAAGGGGATTGGAGGAGCGGTTATCCCCAGCGGAGGGAGGGAATGGTCGCCGCGGTGTGCGCGCCCTGCGGTGGTCCTGCCGTCCGGGTGGACGCCCCTCGGAGGTGGAAGGGAGATCGGGGCGGGAGGTCCCCTGCGGTGAGGACGGCCCTTGGGCCGGACCACCCCCCGCGGTGATGGAAGGAGTGGTCAGGGCGGCTGGTGACCGGGGTGGCCTGGGTGGGCGCCCCCGGGGCGGTGGGGAGGTGATCTGTGTTTGCGCCCCCGGTGGTGGGGGGCTCTCCTGAGAAAGTGTCCCCAGTGGGCGATCGGGGTGGAGGAGGGAGGGTGTTGGTGGGGGTGGGAGGGGTCGGGAGCCCGCGCACCTCATTAACGTCGGTGCAGTGCGAGCCGTTGCCCGTGAAGCCCGCGGGGCAGGGGCCGCAGCGCGCGCCGCCGGCCGTGTCGGTGCAGGCCACGCCGGGGAAGCACGAGTCCGGCGCGCAGAGCGGGAGCGGCCGCACGCTCAGGCCTGGAGTGCGCGCAGGCTGCATCCCTGAACGGGCGGGGCGGAGACGGTCGAGACCACGCCCTCATGGGGGTGGAGCCACCCAAGACCACACCTCCCTGGAGGCGGAGCTTTTTCCAAGACCGTGCTGAGGTTAGGAGCAGATCCTGTTACCAGCACGTCTCTGGGGGCGGAGCCAGTCAGGACCACGCCCCTGGGGGCGGGGCTGTCAAAAGCGCGCTTGGGATTGGTGACGGGTCCTTTCATGGGCACGCCCCCGGGGAAGGGCGGAGCCTGCCAGGACAACACTTGGTTGGTGGGTATCCCATTGTAGCTACGCCCCTGGGGCGGAGCTATCAGAAGCGCGCTGGGACGGCTGGGGGCCGGTTCCGTCTTGGACACGCCCAGGGGGGGCGGAGCCTGCCATGGACACACCCATATTGGGAGAGGCTCCATCTCGGACACGCCCTATGGGCGGGGTCAGATCGAGCCACGCCCCGAGTGGGCGTGGCGACACGCACTCGCTCTGCGCTCCCGCCCCTTCCTCTCTCCTGTCCGCCTCCTGCCAGGTCCCCGCCGCGTGGCCCTGCACGTCTCGCGTGGCCCTTGTCCTCCTGCCCCACTTTCTCCTCCTCTGCCTCTTTCTCCCCGCTTTCCCTCGCTCTAGCCTCCGGGTCCCCAGTGTCCCGCCCGCACCGTCCCGCTCACCGCACGCGTCACATTCCATCACCGTGTTTTTCAGGAACGTGATCTCCCTGACCTGCGTGGGGAGTGGGGACAGAGAAGGGGTCACTTTCCCAGTCCTCAGAGCTCCCACTGTCCTCAGACCCTCTCTCTTGGGTCTCACGACTCCCTCCCCCCTCCCCTCTTCCCCCTCCCCCCTCCCCCTCCC